GTCCGAAGCAGCCTTGATTACGCAGCTTGCATCATGGTAACTATGCAGCCATTTTGTTTTGTCGAGTATTTACCAGTTTTCTATTCGACTGGTCGTCTTCGTTAAGTAGGACTTTACCACTGCGCAGGTGGTGGGCGTGGTTCAATAAACTTAAGGACCAGTCGAATACAGACATAGTACTGCATTTTGCGGACTAGAATCGCTCTTCTTATGCGAGAATATACGGTACAACCTTTGGTTATTTTTGGTCAGCCACACAGTACGGTGAACCACCAATTTTTCAAAGTGATTGAAATCATTCCAATACATGAGATCTATTTACAATTGAGCTTATGGTTGTGTTTTAATCCTGAGGTTTGTTGTGCTGTTTTCTTTTCTGTGTCAGTCTTGTCCCCTTGATGCTTTTAAGCTTTCCATAAAATTTTTAAACTTTAATACATATCTTAAATTTTGACCATGACTAATGTTGGAAACGGTGTATGATTTGTTTCTGTAATGTTTTTGAATATTTTATGTTATTCTAAATCAGGCATAAGTACATTTTTTCAATTAGATCAACACACGAAAAAAAGAAAAAAAAAGATGATTTTACCAGAACTGAATGTAGTGCAGTAAGTTTAATCTTAAATTCTGCCAAACATTTGCAACATATTCGCAAGATTTTAACATTATAACGTGACAGGTTTAATTATTAAATTCAGGAGCCATTTTAAATAGGAAGATAACATTGGTTTATTGATATTTTGGACACTAATCACGTTGATGGCAATTACATATAACCATTAACAGTCCTAAAAAAGACACATAAACTTATTTGTGTTTTTATTCAAGATTCATTGACAAAAATGGTACACTGTAGGATAGAACTATTCCCATATTATCTTTAAATTTCCCATCGATTTATGCCCTAAATGCAGGTGCTACAGGGGAAGTACTGCTCCACTACAAGACATCCAGTTATAGGATCATCTGTGAAGAAATCCTATGTAGTTGCCAGTGTGGCCAGACCTGCCAAATTTGGCTTTGAATTTAGAAAAACTTAATTGTGTTAAACTGAGTATACAAAGTGCATAATGTTTACAAAAGTTCAGACCTAGGCTATTACCTTAGCATAGACTTTACTATAGTAAGATGTGTATAAGAGACAGTATATATATATATATATATATATATGATGCATAATATTTCGGAAAATTGTTCCAATGTCCTTTTCTGTTCTTCCTTCTTCCTGTTCTTTTCATTTCATTGCATTCATAAATATACTATAGTAAAGTCTATGCTAAGGTAATAGCCTAGGTCTGAACTTTTGTAAACATTATGCACTTTGTATACTCAGTTTAACACAATTAAGTTTTTCTAAATTCAAAGCCAAATTTGGCAGGTCTGGCCACACTGGCAACTACATAGGATTTCTTCACAGATGATCCTATAACTGGATGTCTTGTAGTGGAGCAGTACTTCCCCTGTAGCACCTGCATTTAGGGCATAAATCGATGGGAAATTTAAAGATAATATGGGAATAGTTCTATCCTACAGTGTACCATTTTTGTCAATGAATCTTGAATAAAAACACAAATAAGTTTATGTGTCTTTTTTAGGACTGTTAATGGTTATATGTAATTGCCATCAACGTGATTAGTGTCCAAAATATCAATAAACCAATGTTATCTTCCTATTTAAAATGGCTCCTGAATTTAATAATTAAACCTGTCACGTTATAATGTTAAAATCTTGCGAATATGTTGCAAATGTTTGGCAGAATTTAAGATTAAACTTACTGCACTACATTCAGTTCTGGTAAAATCATCTTTTTTTTTCTTTTTTTCGTGTGTTGATCTAATTGAAAAAATGTACTTATGCCTGATTTAGAATAACATAAAATATTCAAAAACATTACAGAAACAAATCATACACCGTTTCCAACATTAGTCATGGTCAAAATTTAAGATATGTATTAAAGTTTAAAAATTTTATGGAAAGCTTAAAAGCATCAAGGGGACAAGACTGACACAGAAAAGAAAACAGCACAACAAACCTCAGGATTAAAACACAACCATAAGCTCAATTGTAAATAGATCTCATGTATTGGAATGATTTCAATCACTTTGAAAAATTGGTGGTTCACCGTACTGTGTGGCTGACCAAAAATAACCAAAGGTTGTACCGTATATTCTCGCATAAGAAGAGCGATTCTAGTCCGCAAAATGCAGTACTATGTCTGTATTCGACTGGTCCTTAAGTTTATTGAACCACGCCCACCACCTGCGCAGTGGTAAAGTCCTACTTAACGAAGACGACCAGTCGAATAGAAAACTGGTAAATACTCGACAAAACAAAATGGCTGCATAGTTACCATGATGCAAGCTGCGTAATCAAGGCTGCTTCGGACTGTGGCAGTATTTGTTTTTCGTAAAAAAATGTTTTCATCCAATTTTTGAATTCTGTTACTCTACAATTATTTTTTTTTTATTTCAATGTGGGTAATGTAATTTTTTATTTTCTGAAATTTAATACAAGCTATGTGGCTCGGTTCCAGCAGGTACAGAGAATATTTTGTCATTGTTAACACGTCCTACGAAATTCTTACGAGACAGCACTAGTCCGTGAATTTGTGAACAAGATCGGAGATCTAAAGATGCAATCTCTACCGTGCATCAGTGGCGGCCCGCTGGATCTCAATAGAGATTCTTTAATAATATATAAATTGTAATAGCTTGTATTCCACTATTTGCATTCACACATGGGCTGTGTATATATATTGCCTTGGTTTGGCTCTGTAATCATTAGAGGTCGTGGGACTAGTTTGGGCCCTACCTAAGCTGGTCGAACGTTTCGTTTGGGTCTATACCCTGCTGCACTGATGAGGCCTGGAAGGCCGAAACGGATCCGTCTGCAGATATTTTGATTCCTTCCAGTAGATGCTTAGATTATTTTGTCATTCTGATCGGATTTTCTCTACTTTTCCGTTTTAATTTTAAATAGTTTTGCATTATGTGGCCGTTTGCCATTTTATGGGTTTATCCCATTTGCCTTTCAAAATTTATATATTATTAAA